GTGTTTGGAATTCGTACGTAAAGGTTACAAGTTATTAATTTTATGCTAAAACACCGAATTATATGAGCATGCTCAAATTACCTGGAAATAGTTGAGGAAAGGCGCCTTTGGTGGCATACTTAACTTTGAAGAGTCATTATTCAGTATCCTGAAGACTAAGAACAAAAGTTTTGATATGGATATATCCTTTGTTACATGTATAACAATAATAACCCTAGAAGTTTACATCAGTTTTTTTTTATTATTAGATATTTTTATTTAAAAAAAAAGTACTAGTATGCCATCATAAGCAACTACTGCTCCTATGATGGCATAGGGGAGGATGGGGCTGGTAAGCATTAAGGGTAACTTGACGATTTCATTTGGCCTTATAGTCTTCCCTCAGAAATTTCAGAAATATCGCGTAATCATTCTAATTAACCTATTCGTGCTACACAGCAGCAGTGTAGAATTTTGCGCTTGCGCATAAGAGATTTGTTTTTTTGAACTAAAATTTTTTAGTGAAGTAAAAATTCCTTTTTACTTCACTAACAAATATGTTGTTTTTATAAACAAAAAGTTTTCTAAACTCGTCAATATTGCAACACACCTGACTCGTCAGTATGCCATCATAGGAAGAAGTCATCGTTTTCATTTAAACAAGCTATGTCATCATATATCTGCCTTATTCATAAGATAAAACTAAAATAAGTATTCCACTAAATGCGCAAAACTTGAAAATAAAATGGATGAAAATTTCATTTCTGCACATTTAATAGTAAAATCACAAACTTAAATATTTAAAGAGATTAAAAATACAACAGCACATCTCAAAATCGACTATTGTTGATTATAAAAGCAATATTTGTGCATAAAGGACGTATTTTTACTAAAACTATTGTAAAGTCAATATAAACTTGTTGCTCTAATCATTTTTTTGCCATAACCAATGTTTATGAAAATACGACCGGTATGTTATCATAGGCTTCTTTTCCCTATGTTTAAATACCATGAGCATAAAATGTTCAAATCATATAGATCTCACTTGATAATTCAACACATGTTTAACTAATAAAATTTTTATTAAAAAAATGCAAAAAGAACGACTTAAACAACAATATTCAACTCCATAGACCATTTTATTTGTATCAAGAATGTTTTAAAAAAGCAAATCATTTGACTGCCTTAAGATATAATGTACCTACTGATAACTTCTTTCCGCAATAAAATAAACAGACTGATTTATTTAACCAGTATATAAAAATGATCAAAATATGTAATGCTTTTGGAATTTAAGCATATGCAAAATGGAAAACCTTAAGTATGCTCATATTATCATGGTGCTCATATTATCATGGTGGTCAAATTACCCTAATTTACCTTATATCTCTATTACTGTTTGCCCTGATATATTGTCAAGTTTGTTAGATGAACTGTTACCTGAAGATCTTTTGTCACCTGAAAACAAGTGAAAATGATTTAAAAGAATTATATCTCTGTATATATAATAGTATATATAAGTAAAAATATAATAAAGTGATAGTCAAAATAGAGTATTAAATATGTTTGGTTTTCCTGTTGATGTTGAATTCAATGATACTAATTCTGAACCCAAACCAGTGTATTTTATACATAATTTAATAAGAGATGAAGTAAACAAAATACTACTAATTCTAATGCAGTTTAGAAAATTTGAAAAATGTTACCAAAAGAAGAACAAGCATTACTTAAAACTCCACGTCATATTGTATCCACGTTGAAATGAGCAAGTGTGACAGCATTTAGATTTACAAAGGTTTGAAGTAGATTTTAACTCTATAACCATTGATGTAAATGCTGATGGAATTCCTATTCAATTAACAGTTGAAGCCAATTTTTTGTTCGATAGTAAAGTATTGTATATTGTTCTTTTTCTAGTGGCTATTTATATTTGCAATGCAATGCCATCAAGTTTAAAGGTTTTATGATTAGTGTTCTTGGTTTAACTGAACTTTTATGCCCAGTTCTGTGTGGCCTTTCTAATTTAAAATCTTTTAGAACTAAATGATTCTTAAAAATTTTTTTTCTTTACCTTTTTTGACTCTCAGATTTTTTTGCCTGAATCAATCCGCTTTCTCTCTTAATTTGTTGTTAATTTTAATAAACGCAGATGCGTTGCTTTGAATTGCGCTTGTTGTTTTATACTTCTCTTGTGAAGTAGTGACAGACTTTTTTATCAATAAAATGTTTGTAAAAATGCTTACCTAAATCTCCTCAACTTCTTTTTCGATCAATTTTATTTGTTTACTATACCTTACGTACTCACTAAAATTTAATTCAACTTTATCCAATGCTGAAACTTATAACGATTAAAAGTTGAACTTCTTCATAACAAGTTTATTTATAATATATAATATATGGACTATAAGATAACATGAAATCAAGCGAGAACATAAATCTTCTAAGAATATATAAGTTATATTATTCTTTATATATATATATATTTTTTTTAAATCTAAATTATGTATATAGTAATAATAATGATGATAAAATAATAATAATAATAAAAAAAGAAAAAATTGATTATAATTTTGGAAATTGAACCAAAAGTAGCGAATATTCACCAAGTGGACAATATGAATTTTATTTTTTAATTCAATATATATATTTGCTGTACATATAATAATAAATATAATTATATAACAAAGAAACATTTACATAAAAAAATTTGGATTTATAAAAAACAGGTTCAAAGAAGATACGGATGTCTTAAGTCACCACAATATTTTCAATAGAGCCCCATGTAGGCTGTACAATTTAAAAATAAAATAAGATAGTTAAAAATACTTTGTACATCTCTAATATAATAAAAAGGTCAAAACTTGCATTAACATTTACATTAAATCAAGAAAGTAAATAATATCAATATAGTCTTAGCAATATTTATTTAAATATACTTGCAAACTCAGTTGAATATACTTGCAAACTCTGTTAAATATACTTGCAAATTCTGTTAAATATACTTGTAAACTCTGTTAAATGTCAAAGTAAAAATTAAAACAAATAAAAATCTAAGAATAATGGAACTCGATTTTCATATCGAAAAATCAATAAAATTATTTATCTAATTTAAAAATTTCATATTTTATACAAACTTGGAGGAATTTTAATTGACAATTGGGAACTTATTGTGACACACAATATGAACTTTTGGTTGATTTTTATAAAAAATAACTGTTGCATAAATAAACTAAAATTTCTTAATGAATGTTAATGCGATTGTAAAAGCGGAAAAATTGACTTCGATAAAAATATTTATTTATTCTAATTACGATCTTAATAGTGATAGACATCAATACATAATATAAATGATTTAGTGAAAGTCCGCCTACTCAGAGGCGTAGTAGAGGCGGTTCTACAAATAAAATGAGGGTTAGGGGGTGAGGGTGAATTCCTTAAAAAGTACTGACTGGTGCCTTAAAAAAAAAAAAAAAGTCCTTAAAACTAAAATTTACCCGACTGAATTGTGTCAAATACGCGACTAAATTCGTAAAAAAACCGAATTATCTTCTTTTGGGGAGGGGAAGGGAGGAGGTGGAACAGTCTTCACACTCCTCCCTCCCCCCTCCCTCCTCTTAAAATTGCCTTTACTCAGGGTATGAGTAGTACCTCGGTACAAGGGGAACACGTCTCGATTAGATCTACTATTACGATGTAATAGTAGATCTAAAAACCAGTTGACTACTATTGACTAAAAACCAATGGTCTACTAACAGTATAAACACTTACGAAATTTAGTTGAAATCTAAGTTAAAATAAACAATTTATTTTTAATGCATATGTATTTCACGAGCAGTTCTTGATGATAAGACCTGAAAGACTTATGCAAGTCTCCGCGTTTCTTTTTTTATTTTGTTTTATAGAAATTTCTAGTATAATTGTGTTATTATAGTTTTTTCTAAATTCATAACGATTTTTTTTATCTTTTTCTATAAGTTATTTGAACAAATATATATGAATGGTGTTTATTGAATAAATATATGTAAGATAAGTAACGTAAGGTAACACGAAAGGTTGTTGGGCGGTAGTTGAGATTTTGAGGCATAAATGTAAACAAAAAGCATATATAAAGATATTAACTTTTTTTTTTATGAACGTTTATAACTATTTTTTTATCTTTCATCGCTATAGTGTTCATAATTTTTGAACACAAAAAATAATTTTTGTTCTCATTTATTGAATTTTAAATTATAATTAAACAATTTTTTTAATGTCTAAACGTTCATTTTATGACGTAACTTATTTCACCTAAAGTCTTTACTGGTGAAGTTGGTCTTGCCCAACTAAAATTGCATTATTGAACATGAAACGTCTAGGTAATCATTTAAAAACAAGGTCTGTTATATACTTATTATAAGCAATTTATTTAAATTAGTAATAATTAACTTATTTAATAACTCAATATTAAAGATAACTATTTAAAATCACTTTTTATGATAACTTGTTACTACTTTTTTTTAACAAAAATTAAACCAAAAATTTAACTAAATTTTACGCTACGCATACGCATCAGTTTCTTTATTTTCCAGCACAGCTACTTAACTTACGCCGATGGGGCAGGTTGAGCTGGTTGGTAAACTTTATACCATATCTTCTCAAACAAATTCAAAATATTTTTTTTAAACCAATTTTTAGGAGATCAAATTATCTTTCTAATAGTAAGAAATTATGTAAATCCCTTCAAGAGATCTGAATTATTTAGTTTAAAACTAGCCTCTTCCCCCCCCCCCCCTACCTTCCTAACCGAAATAAGTAATACAATTTTACGTATTATTTATATGCCTAATTTATATCCTCAATAATAATTTTTGTATATTAATACTTAAATGACATTTATATAATAATACTTATTTGTTTATTTATGCACAATTTATTTTGCAATTATTAGGTGTAATTTATTTGTAGTTATTAAGTGTAATTTATTTGAAATAATATTTTTTAAGCACAAAACATTTTTCAAAATCAAGGAAAGAAAATAAAAATTATAAACAAAAAAATAATTTTCAAATTTGTTTTATAGCCATGTAATAAATAAAAATTCATTTTAAAATTTTGTTTCACAAAATGTTTTCCTTTGCTGACGAATGTTGATTGCAAAAAAAAAAAAACTATAATTATTCCCTGTGAAAGACAAAATTAAAAAAAAACAAAAACAAGAGAATGAGATAATGTACAAATAAAGATAAGTGGAAGAAAGCGTTTAGTCAAAAAACAAAATATGAAAACGTAAAGATTGCATAGCTAGAAAAATGCATATATAAAAAAACAAAAAACAAAAACGTCGAAGAGAGAAAATCGACGTATTTCAGAAACATTTTATGTCAATATAAAAAAAAAAAAAAATACGAAGCATTTAAAATACTTTTAAGCTAGCGAAACCTATAGCTGGCCTTGCTCTATCAAAGTGTTTAATGACTTAACAATATTGGCTAGATAAGGTCTAAACTTGCTACCAGGTTGGAAAACAGAATCTAAAACATCTGGATTTGAGTAGAAATTATAAACACACTCTATACGCTTTAATGACTTTGCAGTGAGATGGTTGCAAACCAACTTTTCTAAAAGCTTTTGAGAATCTTTCATCATAGTAACCGTATACTCACAATCAAATGTAAAATCTACCTCATAAAAACTTATTATAGATTTTGCAATGGTTTTAAATTTGTTTTGGAAATTTTGAATAATTGACATTTCTTCTTTTGTAAAACGATTGTTAGATGACAAAAGTGCAACCTTGACAACAATTTTTATCATATTTTTCATAATTTTTTCGGCATCTTTTTTACTCTCAAGATAGTATTTTGCAATTCTATAACAGTTATCAATTAGTTCAGAGGTAGGTCCATCAACAACTTGTTTCGCCAACCCTTTTGAAGACATTTTGCTGGCTATTTTGCCTTGAATTCGTAAGCCAATGCTCTTCGCATGCACCTCTTCATCTCCCATATCTGTTATACACTAAAAAAAAAAAAAAAAATACAAAATAAGCAAATTCTAAGTTGGATTTGAATATTTGAACTCATAAAGTTATTTAAAAAAATTAGAAAATTACATTTTTCTAATTAACGACAAATCATATAAATCTTTAAAGTTCTCAAAAAAAATATTTAAATAATAAAATTGAATAAATCTAGGCTCTAGTTGCACCAATTGTAAAAGTAATGTATTGATTGTAGTAATGAATTTGTGGAGAACCAATTGTAATAATGAACTAATGGTGTACCAATGGGATCAGGGATGGGGGAGTACCAAAAAGACTCCAGCTTTAAATCTCTTTTTTTTTCTGGTCTTTTTTTTTTTGGTGTCAAGGAAAAAATATAAAGTGGCTTATGATCTGCAATAAGAAAAATATTCATTAAATTTAATGATTTGGAACCAATTTCTTTTTAGTATGTCCTGGAGTCCTTGTTGCCATTACTCTGGATTTAAAATTGTTTGTTCCTCACTTAAAAGTCTTTATTTTTTCCTTAAAAGTAATTCATAAGCCTCTTTACATTTTTTTGCATTTTTGGATACTAAAAACCAGGAAGAAATTTTTTTGAACCAGGAAGAAATCATTTTGTGACTTTCAAATCTGGAGATTATTTTCGGACTTCACATTCTTAAATGAGGTACATTACTACCTATATTAAAAAAACTTTAACCTAACTCCGATCCAAAACATTTCTGTTACAAATATCATTTTACACCTTAAAACCATTTAAGCACTGTCGATTAAAGATTAAAATCTGTAAAGATTCAACAAACACACCCTGTTTGAACTGGATGTGGAAGGATGCAACTTGGCCAACATTGATAATACAATTTAAATTATATAAATATATAATTTAACTATAAAGTTTAACATAATGCGTGGTATATCAAATAAGATAAAACACTTTTAGCAACTTTTTTCTAACTTTAGAACTAAAAAAGTATTTTTCTATTTTTATTAAATTATTTGTCCATAATTTAATTATATTCTTAACAATAAATAATTTAATTATCTTATAAATAAATAATTTAAATCAATTTATTGAAGACAAACATTTCAAATCTTTCAAATATTTAAAAATAACATTTCAAATCTTCAATAACAAATAACATTTAAAAAATGGTAAATTTTATGATTTTACAAAAAAACTTTGGCATTAAATACTATCAAATAATCTCTCCATTATAAATACAACTGAAATCTTTAAGTGTTAAAACTAGTCTTATACACCAAAAAACTTTTTATAAAAGCTTATAAAAGTTATTTAAAAATTTTGGCATATAAAAGTTATTATCACTGCTTGAACCACTCAAATGAGAATTTTTTTTTTTTTACATTTTAATATACTCAATACTCAATCAATAGTGTTTTAAGGAGTCTGTCCACATTTTAATGGCCATCATCTTATTTGTACTTTCCAGACATTTACATCACCAACCCTGATTGCCCAGGTCTCACTTCATACATCATAACAATCTGGACACAGGTGGTGTTTAACTTTCCTTTAC